ATAACTGTACATCTCTGACATTGCAAACTAGCGGCAATTGGGGATATTTCAGAAAGTGGAGCTACCTGCTGTTGTTGTTGATCGACGAATGTGCATCTTACAGGTGAGAGATGTTCTTTAGTTATCTTAGACTAATTTTATGATTTAAAAGCAGTAAATTTATCGATTAAGCCCTTTAGCTATATATCAGACGAAGAAACTTTGAGTTGGAGGGATTATTGTTGCGTTGTAGGTTGTAATAGCCTGAGAAGTGATTGGCCGAAAGGGTTTGCTTTACATCCAATTCCCAAACAACTTGCTTCACATCAGGAATCCTCAATAGAAGCTACAGGACAAAAGTAGTACGGAAATACCAAGTTGTTTTTTTTTCTTTCTAACAGCTAATATTGGAATTTTGGAAAAGCCTTCCGTTATGGGTCGGAAGAGTAAAGATAAGTATGAAATTTATTACATTCCAACCACAAATATTCCCCCACCCGTTACTGATAAGGTAGTAACTACTCAAAAAAAACGTAAGCAGAAAAAAAAGACTATCAGTACCCTAAAGCAGCGCAGAAAGGAATTGGAAAATAAGTAGCGTCTGAACAAATGTGTGAAGTCTGAATCGACTTTTGACATTGATGATGTTCAGTTGGAAGTATGTGTCTAGTCATGTGAAATTTTGGCATTGTATTCTGTGAGAGGGAATTAGGTCTACTAGTACCAGATAAAACAGAACCTAAAACAGCTTATGTTTATCACAAACATCGGCATGAAATAACTGAACTGGATATGCATTGTGATATGCAAATTCATACTACAAACGAAAATATGGCAATTCAAACATAAATAGGTGTATCTACAGCATCGACTCAAACTGGAAAAGAAATGCGTTTGAATTGACTCCTTTTGTTCGGAGAAAGATCTCCAAACTCTGGCTGACATCAAAATGAAGAACACAACAAAAATAATACTTGGTTTAAGGAAGGAAAATCGTCAGCTGCATCAAGAAAGTTTTGTTCAAAACATGTTTAGAATACCGACAAAAATCCTTAACTTTGCACAAGATCTCCAAATGTTTCTATGCCTTAAGGCTCTTTCACGTCTTGTAAGCTACTTTCCCATTTTACTTAGATCTGGTGAAATCAGTCTTTAGAAAAACGATCCTTCAGAAATTTTAACATAATATTTGTTTGGTTACATTTCATGTTAAAGCAGACTTGGAAAATTCTTTGGGTTTACAGTGACATTCGTCCATCAGCTTTTAACGTATACCACCCACTCTCGGCTTTTTCAAACCATATCATTTTCAAAAAAACATTTTCGCGAAAAACGAAACAAAGGACTATCTGAGCATACAGTACGTAATTTTGATCTGGTAAAGTTACCATAATCTATCATTGTTCATCTGAACTTCCTTTTGTTCATTGGCTAAAGTAATTTATATTCGAACTACGGTTACTCCTATAGAATTTCTTCACGTATAATCTAAATACAAAAAAAAAGAAATTAGGGCAGTTATAACACCGATAGTTGAAATATATTGTATACTAAATAGCAAAACATATTTTTGCCGAAATAAATCATTAAACTTCCATTATGGAGCATGGTGAATTTTAAAATTTTGTTTTCATGTAAAAATCATTATAATGAAGCATTTACGATAAATATGGAGATTTCGCTTTAATATAAAAATAAGCTTTTTATTTTTTAATATCCAAAGTTTTATAAAAATGATATTTTCAAATTACACTAAGAGAGAATGAGCTATACTTTTCTATGCCGGCATTCAACTGTTCCCTTATACAGTAGGCCCGGCATGGCCAGGTGGTTAGGGCGCACGACTCGCAATCTGAGGGTCGCGGGTTCGAATCCCCGTCGCACCAAACATGCTCGCACTTTCAGCCGTGGGGGCGTTATAATGTGACGGTCAATCCCACTATTCGTTGGTAAAAGAGTAGCCCAAGAGTTGGCGGTGGGTGGTGATAACTAGCTGCCTTCTCTCTAGTCTTACACTGTTAAATTAGGGACGGCTAGCGCAGATAGCCTTCGTGTACCTTTGCACGAAATTTAAAAAAAAATTATACAGTATATATGGTACATTTTTTAATTGAATCTAGTAATGGACGTTTTCATTTGAATTGAATTCATTTTTACAATATACCAACCACAATTTTCACAAGAAATAAGCTTTTAACGGCTCAGGAGTAAGTTTGTGGACTTATGACGCTAAACATCAGGTCTCGATACCCGCGGTGAGAAAGCACAGTGTAGCTTTGCACTTGACAACAAACAATGAACAAAACGTAATATTTATCAAACTGAACTCAATTCTAGCAGTTATGATCAAAGAATATTTATTAGACCAGCTAAAATATTTTTTAATGTTAATTACAAGATAAAAATTTGGGTTAAGATATTTGGGAATAAACATTTTAAGATCATTGTTTTTACCATGAAATATGAAAATTATAATTTGTTTACAAAACTGACATGAGGGTTTCATTTGTTTAAGGTCTCTTCAGTGTTACCCTTTTCTAATTACTGTATTTCTCCCTATATTTTATTTACTATGTTTTATATTCATCTGTAATGCGACTGTATCTTGAGTTAAATGATGATGTCCTTTCATTATACAGTTCATTAAAAGTCGTCTGTGGTTGTGAATTATATTCCAACTGTCGTGTTTTTTTTAAATTTTGTAACAGTTACCTGTATAACAAAAGAAATAGGTTATTGAAAATTACAGATAGTATTTTAAAAATATTCTTAAAACGTTTTATCAGTACCTATAAATTACAAAATAGTGTAGATCCATTTAATTTCATATAACCCTAAAGTTTTTGTTTAAGGTGGACATCTAGTCCATTATCCACAGTGAACTTGAATTTAATGGTACTGTCATTAGTGCCTTGGTATATGGGAAATGGATATACAGAGTTTTGCATCAAACAACAACAAAATGTCACAATGAGTCCAGATTATATATTCCAAGAACTAAAGAAAATGTTATTGATTTATCTGTTTAAGGAAGCCAGTTTCTTCCTAAAATACGGCCTGAGCCATAAACATCAAAACTGTAAATAACGACTAAAGAATTAGTAGCCATTCTCAAACATTGCTGTTTTGAGATCCATTGTAAACTATTAAACACAAGTCTGAACACTTCTAAGATAAGAAAATGTAAATATAATGTCGTTTGTCCATTCAGAGTGAAAACACGGGAATTCATGCAAAGTATCTTAAAGAAAACTTATGTTGTTGACATTTTGGAAAATAATCTTCAGGTATTAATTGTAAGATGAAAATAATTTTGCAATAACTTTACATCGAAACCATTAATTTTAAATCGCACTTTTCATACGACGCTAACCCAAGCACTGAGGCTAGTACTACTGCTACCACATAGCACTGAATACTGGCTAGAAACTTGTTGTAAATTGTAATATATTGTACTTTACTAATGTTAGAATATTAATGTATTAATAATGCAAACATAGCTGACTCAAAACTTTTAGAAAAACAACAACAACAAAACAGTAGAATTACCAATACTGGCAATAGCCATGAGTTTTGATGGTGGTGGTTCATCGTTCTTTTTCAACTTCATTCCTTTGAGTCAGATCGATTAGGCCCACAGCGTCAGGGGTATTTCTTTTTTCTATCGCTACCAAACAACTGACATTACTATTTAATCATTACTTATTGGAAGATCATCCTATGTTTGTTTTAAATATTCTTCCCATCGCATAACTAAATAATGAAATTAATACCAATTTGTAGAGTTTTGCCACAAACACCTCGTGTCATTTCAATTACATTACACCAATTACATGATAGCGTTCAAACGTACATAATAGTTTATCATCACTGTCTTCTGAATACACATATTGAATAGTATTTCACAAGTCGTAAGTGGTACTTTACTTAAAGTATTAAAATATGCAAGCAAATAACAAATATTTGACGAATTCAAATATTATATCCGATGATTTATTGTTCGTTTCCCGCTGCCACAAATAAAGAGCTACACGCCAAAAAAGTGACTTTTAATTCCTATTAGTTGGTCAGATAAAATTATTTCAACAGTTTGCTATGGATGCTGTTGACTAGCTAAGCTACTTTCCCTCTAGTCTATCAGTTCAAAATTAGGAATGGCTATACGTAGATAACGCTTTTTGTAATTTTCAACAAAAAAATCTTTAAGATTGATAAACCAATGATATTCTGCAAGTAATTGATACTAATATATCTACTAGACTATACGGAAAGATGATATTATAATAACACCGTGGCTCTAGGCATTCAAATCCAATACGCCAAAATTAAACTATTAATCAAGTGGCTAAAGTCCTACAACACTACTGTAATAAGAAGATAGCATTTTACTTTTATGAAGCCTCATTATAAAACTTATCGTTTTAACACAATGCAATACCTTCGATGGTATTTTGTAGATACATTTTATAAGAAATAGAAATTTGTCAACCTATATGGGTGCATCGGTTTAACAGTAACAATAAATAATACTTATCAAATCCTCCTAAGTTATAAAATATAACAGTATTTTACTGGCTTATAATTAAAGCAGAATTCTCATGAAACAGTAATAATAACACGAATTTCTCAAAAGTAAACTGCAAAATTGAGTGTATATATATAAAAATATTTGTGTATTAAAATTTTTCTTAGAAACTAATGGTTTTTTTACCCTTGCAAATGCTAATATAAAGCTCTATTAGATTTCTTTAACAAAAATTACCTCTTGTAGTTTTTGGAACCTTTTTTGAAAACCTGAATACATTTCTATGATAACTTGATAACGTATAATACCTGATAAAGATCACAAGTTCTATATGTTTAACGTTTCTCTAAATACGAAACGTCTTATCCAACTACGGATCAGTGGTTTCGTTTCTTTATTTGTTTGTATATTTGTATTGTCATGATCTGGTTTTTAGTAGGATGTAACAAGTGAATGTTTCCTCAGAAAAAAAACACATTATCTTTGATTTTTTCAGTTCCACCCAGAGAAACAATTATTATGGATGAATTTGGACAGCATCTGCGAGGTTTGATAGGCCCGTATAACGAAGGATCGTCGTTACTTCTCATATGTGAAGCAGATGGAGGTAAGTTAACCTACCAATTAGTTTTAAACAAATACCGGAGACCTAATGTCATTACATTTACTTTTATAAATTGTTTAAGATTTTATAAGACAGTTAAGCTCTCAGCCTTTCGAACTCGTAACTTTATAATTAGGAACAATTTTGTTAATAAACTGTGTCCTTTATCATGATTCTTATATTATTCAACGTTTACTAAGCCCATTTCAAATGATTTTAACATATTTTGTGTTCTGGTTGCGTACCTGCTTAGTGTTGATTCTCGGAAATTATTTATTCAAATAAGATATGATGACGCACAGAAGTATTATTAAAAAAATTATTCTCAGTCAGAAGTGTAGTACTGCAGATATATAATGAATGGCTAAAGCTAGCGTACAAACTTCAGAGAAGGAATTGTAGAATTTATCCTAGTAACAGAGGTATTTACTGAAGTATCTTAAAGAATACGTTGTCTGTCAGGTTCAATGGAAATTAGAAAAGCAATAATATAATTTCATACCAACGAATACTCAAACGGAATCCTTCGTTTATATTTCTCGGAATAATATATGTGCATGAGAATCAACAGAAAGAAACTAAATATATATTTCGAAGAGTTTCGTTTTTATCAAATTGAACCAAGTAGCAAAACGTTCGTATTCTAAAAATGTTTACTAACGGACATATTTCTGTCTCGTTAGTTAGGAATTAGCAGCAAACATTATCTTAACCAACCTTTATCGTCACTAGTTTCTCTTGCCATTTTAATAACTTATCTCAGAAAGAATACATAGGATATCCTTTGGCAGGAAGACCTCCTCCAGCATTGACGTGGAAAAAAGGAGGAAAACTTTTAAGCTCTAACTTTACTCTGACACCTCAAGGTTTTTCCCGAAATGAAGTAGTTCTTCCCGAACTTCGGCGGGAAGACCTGTTCTCTTCCCTAACGTGTGAAGCTTCAAATAACGACATCCGATCTCCTGTAACAAGTTCGGTTACTGTTGATTTAAACTGTAAGTATATTTGCTTCCTTGCTTCTATGAATCGCACACTAATGCATTAATCTTCTCTTTTAACTATTTAAGGATCATCTCTGTATTTATTATGATCTATATTATTAACTACTTAGCCATTATATCAAATCATATAAATATAAAAGAAGAATTAAATATGAGATTAAAGAAAAGAGTGAAAATACTTAACACATATCATTGGACTGAAATATGCCTGTGAATTATTAAACATTACACAATTAATTGGGAGATTAGAAGACAGTAATGTATATGCACTAGTAATTAGCCACAAAGTAGGACCAACATTCAACAAACAAGACACTTACTACAACATACATTATACATTTAAAACGACACGAAAATGTAAAGAATAACAAGGAAAATGTACGATTATGTATATGCACTAATAATTATTAGTCACAGAGTAGGACCAACATTAAACAAACAAGACGCTTACTAAAACATACATCATACATTTAAACGGTTGAACTTACAAATTTTAAAATAACTTCATAACAACCAGTTTTTTACAAGTAGTTTAATGGTACTATTTATTTTGTATTTGGTGTAGTATTTAATGACGAAATTGACAATTAATGATTATTGCGCCATTTTGTTGTAATAAACATACAACAATATATGCACAACAGAAATTAAATGATGAGATGAAAATGTGTTATAACGGCGCGTAGAAAGAACAACAATAAAATGGACCTAAAATATTATTGACTATTTGCAAATAGTAACTATGGAGATGAGGTAATAAAATAAAAATCAAGTCGAGAACAACAAGAAAATTTTATAAACGAAAACCCCTCGCCGAGCATTGGCTATTATGTTATTTCCCTGTCAATGTTCCCATCTTCATTAAAAGGCGTAAGATGACAAAAACATTTTCATATTTGCACATGAGATGCAAAGACAATGAAGACAATAATAATTACCAGTGATATACAAATATTGTTAATGAAAGTTTATCGTTTCAGGTTTAAAATACTCACTTTTGTTTGTTTGAATTTTGCGCAAAGCTACGTGAGGGCTATCTGCGCTAGCCGTCCCTGATTAGGTAGAGAAAGACTAGAGAGAGACTTTTGAAGATCTTAGAACAGTTGATGGTCATGTTTGTGCGTCATTTAGAGAGGCATGCTACAAACGTAGAAAGCTAGAAGATGATAGTCAATGGGATGCCACCTTAAGAGAAGAAGCCATATATCAATCCTCAAAGCGGCTAAGAGATTTATTTGCAATTCTCTTAAAAACCTGTGATGTAGGCAACCCTTTAGAATTATGGAACAAATACAAAGATGATTTGGCACAAGATTATAAGCACCAAGCACAACTTACCAGCCCGCACATTGACTTAGTTCACACAGATGAAATCTACAACAGAGCCTTAATTGACATAGAAGATAAAATAGCATCAATGGATGGACCACAACTACCTTCATTTGGCCTCCCACAAACCAATAGAACAGAAGTCAACAATTTCTCTACAGAGATTATAAGAGAAACATCATATGATAGCAACTCCTTAACTGAATATGTAAATGAAAATGAGCCCAAGTTGTTGCCTGATCAGAGAACTGCTTATTCAACTATAATGAATAGTATCTCTCACCAGAATGGGGGCATCTACTTTTTGGATGCTCCTGGAGGTACTGGAAAAACATTTGTCACAAATTTAATACTGGCCAAAGTTCGCAAGCAAAACAAAATTGCTGTAGCAGTAGCCTATTCTGGTATAGCTGCTATACTGTTGCCTGGAGGTCGCACAGCTCATTCTGCATTCAAACTTCCTTTGGATTTAGCTACCAATGATGAAGCTGTTTGTAAAATTGCTACAAATTCTGGCATGGGAGAGATTTTTAAAAGATGTGAACTTAAAGTCTGAGATGAATGTACAATGGCCCATAAAAAAGCATTGGAGGCCCTGAACAAAACTCTACAAGATGTGAGAAACTACAAGACATTGATGGGCGGTGTAACTGTTGTCTCATCAGAAGATTTTCGCCAGACTCTGACAGTTATACCTAAGGGAACAAAAGCTGATGAAATTCGAGCATGCCTTAAATCTGTTTGTGGCACAATGACAAAACCTTGAAGCTTACAACAAACATGCGAGCAAGAATTTATGGTGATCGCAATTCAGGTCTATTTGCTCAAAACTTGCTACAGCATGGCGAAGGAAAAGTTCCTGTGGACCATGACAACAAAGTCATTATATCTACAATCATCACAGTGGTCCAAAGTGTTAATGAATTAACAGAAAATTATTTACTAACTTTAGTTATCACTACAAAAACTACTTGGGTGTGTGAAAGAGTAATATTGGCACCGAAAAATGTGACAGTTAATTCTATCAACCAAAAACTACTCCAAAATATTCCAGGGAATCCTTATATTTACAAATTAATTGATACAATTATCGATCAAAATGAAGTAGTTAACTATCCAACGGAGTTTCTAAATTCTTTGGAATTTCCAGGATTGTCTCCTCACCAACTACAACTTAAAGTTGGAGTTCCTATAATGCTTCTACGAAATTTAGATCAGCCTGAGCTCTGCAATGGTACCAGATTAATAATAAAGGCATTACAGCCTCATGTCATTGAAGCACAAATTTAAACTGGTTGTGGCAAGGATGATGATACTTTTATTCCTAGGATACCTCTAATAACATCAGAGATGCCTTTTCAGTTTAGGCGCTTACAATTTCCAGTAAGATTAAGTTTTACCATGTCGATCAACAAATCGCAGGGACAAACAGTGAAAGTTGTTGGGCTATAATTACAAGAAGACTGCTTCTCTCATGGTCAACTGTATGTAGGATGTTCTAGAGTAGGAACAGTTAACAATCTTTATGTATACTCTCCTTTTGGAAAAACATGCAATGTTGTATATAAAGAAGTATTGTAAATTCTAATTTCAGATAAAGCTTTGTTTGATTAAATGCTTTTTTATTTCTCGCATGACAGCTTTTGTCCACTTACTGAAAAATTTGCTGAAAAAAATACTGATCTATACATTTCAAATCTAAATTTTCACCGTGCAACGCCGGGTAACTCAACTAGTAGAGATATATTTTACATTACTGCAACTAGGTGTACACATGAATTCATATGATATAAATCTCAAGCCACATCAACCATAATCTGCCTTTTTCTTAATTATATGTATAAGTTATCGTGTGTTTCTTTTTAGTTGATTATCTTATGATTTTATGCATTTTTGTAATACCCAGTAAAGTTATCATTACTGTTAAACACCAGATATTTCATTACTTAAACTTATTTATATCGAGTAGATTTAACCAGAGCTACTAGTCGGAGAAGTAAACATACATTTTAACTTGAATTACAAGATTTTTATACTTTAATATAACTATCCCTACCTATTTCTAATGTAGTAAATTTTACTTTATGTTCAAAATATATATCATAACTTTCACTGTGTGTAATGTCATTGATACTACACTGCCTAGGTTAATTGCACCAAGTCTCATACTGCCCATCGTGCTACTCTGAAAGCTATGTATATGCAACTTCCAATGTAAGAAACTTCTGCAAAGGGTGGTCAGGTTAGCCCTAAGTATACATCTTGCGAGTGCTTTCACAGCTTCTACGTTACACATGTAGTTTGGCTCTCAAGACCACTTTTAAGCAGACAGTAATGTATAAAAGTCCATTGAAACTGCATTTGAAGACCTGATAGGTATTTAATGGAAGAAAATCGTCATGATTTCAGTTTCTTCGGCCATCTTTTTCGTGAAAAGAGTCGCTGAATTTGTGTTATGATGGGAAATTTGTTTACTTGTAATCAAACTCAAATCCTTGTTTATTATCCTGTCAACTTTACAAGAATATTGCCCAAATCTGTTGCAACTGTTTTTATGATTCAGAAAATTTTGTTTGATATCCATAGCCTTCACTTCAGTGATGATCGAGTGCGTTGTCCAATATTGTTTTGGATCTGGTTTCGGACACCATTTTTGTCCTAAACTCTCTGATGTGTGACTTTTTCCACTTTTCTTTCGGAAAATTGAAAGCTTTCCTCTTCTAAACGCTTTGAATTTTGAGGCTATGGATGCGTTATAAGTATGGCAGTCAAATCACACTATTTGACCTGATAAGAGTAGCCCGAGAGCTGGAGTTGGATAGTGTTGAGTAGTAATTTCTATCCCTCTAGTTTATTACTTCAAAATTATGGACGGCTAGCATAAATAAAGACTGCTAAACTTTCTATATATATATATATATATTGTTTATTTAATTGTCATATGGAATATGCAGATTGTGCATATACAGAAACTCTCTCTTTGTTTATTATACTCAAACTGTAACGCTTAGTGGTGATACCTTAGAAACAAATACTAGAATTAGGTACATAGAGTAATAAAAAGTATTGCTTGTAAATCACAATGAAGAAAACCGATAACATGAGCGTTCCTACAGAGCAGACTTTTCCTATTCATTGTGATTTCGGATTAAGCATCAAGTACGAACGTAACCCATGTAATCTTAAGTGTCTCTGACAACCTGGAAATGCTTACGTCGATTTTGGATGTGACATTACAGACCTCACAACTATTTCTGGTGTTGTTCCAAAACAATATACGAAACAAAAATATAAGGATAAATGAGAAAGCATTAAAAAAAACTACTCAAAGTTAAATAATAATGAAGCATTTGAATAATTAAAAAAGGGTATTGCCAAAGCAACCTGAGAAATACGATTTATTACAAAATACTCGAGATATGAATATGAATAACAATAATAAATGTATAGCTAATCAAAATTATAATAAAATGAAAATTCTGCTATCTTTGAAGTAAGAGAAAAACGTATGTGACCAGTTCTATTTTTTAATGCGAGGACATGGTTATTTTCGCATTAACATAAACTTAATTAATGGTGGAAGATAACTAATAATAAAAGTGATAAGTCAATACACTTCCTTCGTGTTTTTACATATAGTTGAGATTCAAAGTGTTCTGAGAGAA